CTGGCATTACTTTTCCTGATCTTATACATGAGGAAAACCAAGACATTCCGTGTTGAAATAACTTCCAGTACTAAAGTTTTCCGACTTACCCAAGGTGCTGTGATTAACTAGAGTTAGAGATAAAAGTAGACTTTGATCTCCCCCAACCACCACCCCACCACCCACCTTGTACTGCATGGAAGGGTGAGATCAGAACCATGTATCTGAGTTATACGTTTAGCTCTTTTTCTTTTTTTTTTTTTTTTTTGAGATAGAGTTTCCCTCTTGTTGGCCATGTTGCAGTGCAATGGCACAATCTTGTCTCACTGCAACCTCTGACTCCCAGGTTCAAGTGATTCTCCTGCCTCAGCCTCCCGAGTACCTGGGATTACAGGCATGCGCCACCAGGCCCAGCTAATTTTGTATTTTTAGTAGAGACGGGGTTTCTCCATGTTGGTCAGGCTGGTCTCGAATTCCTGACCTCAGGTGATCTGCCTGCCTCTGCCTCCCAAAGTGCTGGGATTACAGGCGTGAGCCACCGCACCCGGCCGGCTTTTGAACTATATCAACCCTGAAGGGGTGAGATTCTTAGAATGATAGTTCAGAGACGGCCAGGAGAGTAGGGGAGATGGAAACACATGCTACTAATAGTAAGGCTCAGCTTTGATTGCCCAGCCCTGGGAAAGCCTTTCTCTTCAGGGCACTTGATCCCACGGAAACTTGGCAGTTGGAGCTTTAAAAGGAAAGGGAGAGGGAAATGAAAGAGAGAGGGTTATGTCAGGGAGCTGCTCGGTTTTAACAAAGGGGGCCATTCCCATGGCACAAGCACAACCCTTCTCTCTGTTATCAGGAGACCATGTTGAGATTACCCTGAATTCACCTAAAGTGATGCTGACTCTTCATGATATTCCCAATGATTCCTGAATCTCATGATGACCAGAAGCCGGTCTCCCCATGGTCATGGCACTCTCAGGGGATGTTTGGTGACTGGACCTTGTGTTCTGTGGTTGTTTCCACTGTCTCCACCTCTTAGATTTGGTCCTCTTGTTAGGCCATAGGGTGTGGGCCTGACCCAGTGCAGTAAAGTCCAGGGCACCTTGGCCTAGGTGCTGACTCCTTCAAAGTTTCTGCTTTATTTCCACAGCTGCGCGTTTCCAGCCTGCACTGTGCATGCTGGGTGGGAGAGGGCAGCTTGAATGCAATAACTGCATCTAGCACAGTTGACAAGACTCTTTCTTTACTACCATGAAGGAAACCACATTTAAAAATGTGTCCCCTTATGTATCCTCTGGGCATTACATATAGTTCTGTCATCAAAGGTAAGAATGATTTTGACCCCAGTGCCTGGTACAGAGTAAGTGCTCAGTAATGTCAGTTAGCTATTATTACAGCTATTACCACAACCTCTAAAAAGAAATGCTCGGCTGGGCACAATATCTTATGCCTGTAATGCCAGCACTTTAGGAGGCCAAAACAGGAGGATCATTTGACCCCTGAGTTTGAGACCAGCCTGGGCAATGTGGCGAGACCTTGTCTTTACAAAAAGAAAATTTTTTAATTAGCTGGGCCTGGTGGCATGTGCCTATAGTCTCAGCTACTTGGGAGAGGAAGACAGGAGGATCACTTGAGCCCAGGAGTTCAAAGTTACAGTGAGCCATGATCACACCATTCCAGCCTGGGCGACAGAGGGAGACCTTGTCTCTAAAAAATAAAACAAAAACAAAAACAAAAAAACCCTGGATGCAGTGGCTCACGCCTGTAATCCCAGCATTTTGGGAGGCTGAAGCAGGCAGATTGCTTGAGCCCAGGAGTTCAAGACCAACCTCAGTAACATTATGAGACCTTGTCTCTACTAAAAATTTAGAAAATTAGCCAGGCATGGTGGCATGCCCCTGTAGTCCCAGCTACTTAGGAGGGTGAGGTGGGAAGACTGCATGAGCCCAGGAGGTCAAGGCTGCAGTGAGCTATGATCATGCCACTGTACTACAGCCTGGGAGGCAGAGCAGGAACACTTAACCATCTCATAGATAATTAGATTAGTCTTCTTCCAGGGACCTAAAGAGGAAAGTGATAAAGTGAACATAAAAGCAGTTTGAAAAGTAAGTGACAGAAGCATGAAAAGTATCCTGTTTTT